ACAGAGGTAGAGACCGACGCATTCGGCGCGACATTCCTCGTAAGAACTGCCCAAAGAGGTGAACACCGAGTCATACGTTTCGCCCGTTTTGTACCATTTGTCCACTTTCTCGCCCGTCAACGGATTCTTCGTGTTTTCGACGTCGAAATTGGGTTTTTGGTCCGCGATTTGCAACTGTTTTCCGCTTCCGTGACCCAACAGCTCGTGGAGCCCCACCTGAACCTCAAACGAGTGGACGGCGTATTTCTCCAACAGTTTCGCGTCCTCTGCGCCCAAGAAGTTGGGTTTCGGGTCTTTGAACGACGCGGTGATCACGTTTCCGAGCGACACGTTTTTGAAGCCCTCGTTCTGTCGGAGCTCCACGTAATTGGGAATATTGATTCCCGCGGGAATTCCCGACCCCGCGAACGTCAACACATCCAAAGACGTGAAGTCGGGCTGAAGGAAGCGGTCCTTCTCGAACTCCTTGGGCCACGGAAGCAGAGGCAGCAGCGATGGCGCCGAATTCACCAAAGATTCAAACTTTTTGGACATCTCTTTGTTGACAATCGAAACGAAGCCTAAGAGAAGACAATCGTTGAGAGAATGGCGCCGAAGAGAAGAGCAGACAAACCCTCGAACTCGGCTCGCATTCCGGCCGGATCTCTGTAGTTCTCGATGAAGCCGATGTACGTCTCGACAATGGGTCCCTTGTCTTTGATCCAGAAGCGAGAGCCGTCTTTGTGTGCTTTGAGGTCTCCGCTCAGGAAGTGATATAAGTATCGGTCAATCATCTGCTTTTCGGTCTCGTTTTGGGCGAAGGTTTTGGCGTCCGATAAGTATTTGTTGAGCAGACGAAGCAAAGGCGAGTAATCGCCGCGACTCAACACAAACTTCGCGCCATTCAACTCATTCTGCTTAAGTTGCAGATAATCCGAGTCCTGTTTGTCTTCGGTGGACAGAATGGACGCGAATCTGATCTCAAAAGTATTGGTTTCCGAGTCCTTGAAGACGCGGCTGTTGTAGGCGTCCATATTCTGCGCAAAAAACTCTTAGTATTGTCTCATAATTGGTGTCAAAGTCTGCGAACAATTGATTTGAGGAATTGGTTGACGACATCCGAGTCTTCTTTCGTGCAGTTCTTCGAGAAGTAAGTCGTCGTTCCCTTTGGAAGAGAGGAATTGTAGAGTGAATTGAGGGACAGAGAGACCGACCTCTGGAGCGAATCCGAGCGACAGATAGTGTTTGTCGAGAGAATAGAGTCTTTGCTTAACGTTTTGCCAAATG